ATTAGCCTATGCAATTTATATGTTTGAAAACCGCCAAACTGACCCCAAACCATCCCAAATTTTGTCCACCCGCCCAAGCCAATTTTTACCCGCACAATCAAATTCAAAACCCCAATCTGGCAACACTGTTCACAGACTCGGTTCTGTGCACAGGTATCTGCACTAACATGACAATTGTAATTAACCATACACGTATTGCACATATTAATTCTCATTGTCATTTTCCTTGTTCTGATACATTTTTTGTTTCACGGATGTATAAAATCTAGATAATTCATATGTACTGCTCTTCTTTTGCCTAAATTTTCTTAACTTTCTTTCAATTGTTGTTGTTGTTGTTGTTTTTTTAAGTATCTTTCTTCATTGACGGGCATTCGACGGTATCCATGCATCTAGAAACTGTTCTGTCTCTCGCCATAAACCAAGAAGAAGGAGTGGGAGGAGCTGGTGACTGAGGTGGCGTCACGTCCGCGCGAGAGCGATACGCAGGAGTGTTCGCGTAGTGCGAGCGTGAGAGGATGGAGGCCGCAGAGCAGCAGCGGAGCTCGAGTGACGGCGCGCCCGCCAGAGGAGCGGGAGTCCCGGGCAGCGGGGGCGGAGCAGGTCCGGGGGGAGGCGCGGAAGGCGAGCGGGACAGAGATCGAGCCACTTTCGAGTGCAACATCTGCCTGGACACCGCCCGGGACGCGGTCATCAGTCTCTGCGGACATCTGTTCTGGTACAACCAATCGATAATCGATCGCCACCGGTATCATAAAAGTATGAGTGAGTGCAGATCTTCGCAGGCTAAGCATTAAAACACACACAGCAGGACAGTGAGAAAACGACTGACCCTTTACCACAACAACCGAGGCTGGTTTCACCTGTTAATTGTTATTTACTCGCGTCAAACTGCAGCAACACGAGCACAACATCTCAGAGAAAAACAATGATTGATTGACAGCTTGACAGGGAAGAATCTGTCTCATTTTACAACCCTTAATCCACCATGATAACTATAATAATACCATAGTTACTGTTTCCAGAGTCAAAATTAGACTTTTACTCCCAAGTACTAAAAAATACACTATAGTAATCACTAATGATACCATAATATTCTTGGTTGTATGAAAATGGTATAGTACCATGATATTACTGTGGTTATACCACAGTACTTTTACTTCATTTACAGTTATTATAGTAAAACTGTGGTAAACATGGACTCTGAATATTCTGAATGAGCATTAATTTATTATGATTTTACAGTAGTAACATATTGTGTTACACTGCACCATCACAGTATTTGTTTCTTTGGTTATAGTATGGTATTTTCTGAAAATGCTGGTTACAATAGTGAATTTTTGTTTTATTATGCTGTTTATTAAACCTTTAGTCAAAATATTTTAAAAATGTTTACATATGTTGTTTTTATATCATATCTGATACATTAGGCTTTTATTGCTCATATATTATAACATGGTGAGAATATGAAGGAAAAAACAGTTCGGTTTTATTCGGAGGCCCTAGTTTAGGCACAAAAAAGTGAAGACATTCTTATAGCTTGTAATGTAAATCAGTGAGATCTTTATATCAGCATCGCAGATACTTACAGTATATAAAATGATATAAATATCACTCGTCACTCTATATCTCTAATAATATGTCTTTTAAGATGAGATTTAAATGCTTAGTTTTATGATCAAAGCATATAATGCAATGCAATACAATGAGAGATCGAGAGATGAACAAATAAACGTTCCCCAAAAGCCTGATGATCATATTTGATACTCACATCTGAACACGATTTTTCTAAAAATGATGTCTGGATAATCAGGTAAACTGACGTTGCTTCAGTCCATTATGTGTTCAACTTGAAATATTACTAACAATATAAAAGTTATTCTTATGTTTTCTTTATAAAAATCAGTAAAGATTTCACAGCAAAAAGACACGTGAATCGCAGCCTTATGTGGATGATTGTAAAATTATTCTAAAAGGCCTTTTACTTTCAATCAGAGGCAGAAGGCATGTAGTAGAGATGGAAAAGTTTTGATCATGTTGATCGAGGCTTTAGAAATTCACATATCAAATATGATACCGTATAGAGTTAACTAAACTTGAAGGAAAATAAACTGCTAGTTCTGGTGTGGTGTTTGTGTTGTGACGTTAATCTGCCGTCTTGCAGGTTTACGCCTGAAATAAATACTACAACGACAGACAGAAATCAGGACGATCTGCTCAGGCCAATGTGAAACTCACTGTATGTGCGTCTGAATTACGCAGCGGCTCGATGACTTGTTTTGATTGCAGCAGGTTGTTTTCTGCAGAGCTGTTCCAGCATGTGTGACTGGAGTTGAGTGTGTGTTTTGTGCAGTATCTCGTTTCGTGCAGTCAGCGTGTGATTATGGGGTTAAGGAGAGATTAGACTGTGCTGGAGGATTGAGGCCGTAGTAGAGGAGTAAGAACAGAAGCACATGTAATGCTGACCCTCTGTGTTCGTGTGATCGCCAGCCTTCATTCATGTCAAACGGCTGTGCAGATGTTTTGGAGTGTGTTTGTGATTGTGTGCATGACAAACGTCTGATAGTTCTTCAGTATTTGGGCAACAAACCCGTCAGGATCAGCCTGCACAACTGCTTTCTGTCTTAGCTTATAAAATATTGGTTTAGAATTAATTATGTCACGCAACCCTCTACGGACACCTTGGCAATTGAATCGCCATTGGCTAGTAAATTTTTTAGCTTACTTGCCAGACTGATATATATATATATATATATATATATATATGTTATGTTTGTAAAATGATTGGTTAAACTTATGGGGCTGTCACGTGATGAACGAATGACTCGAAACAGGTGAACTACTTGACTAATTCCAGTACAGAACCTATAGGATGTTGCGCATGCGCGACTGAACGAATCACTCCCCGAGACGACTTGTTCTTCCCGAGTCACATTAAAGATTCGTTCAAAATGAACGAATCGTTCAAGAACGACCCAACACTACAAAGGAGCGCTGTTATTTTGACAGGAAAATACAACAAAGAATATCGTTTACATGTAGTGTGTGTGAGACAAAGCGACTGCGAGCGCCTTCACACTAGAGTTTACGGTAGCCTACGTCAAATACAGGAGCGCTGCACATCCATTGAAATGAACTGAAAAACAGCACAGATCGCTTGGCGGAGAGTGAAACTCTGAAGCGCTCAGTCAGAGAGTGTTCTGTGAGTGAAAATATATCTGTGCTAAACTTATACTTAGCCTCCAACTCACACGCTGGCGAGTAAAATCGGAGAATTTATAAGCCAGTGGCTAATATTAGACATCATTTAGTCGCCCAGAGTGAAGATTTAGTCGCATATGCGAGTGATTTACTCGCAATGTAGAGGGTTTTATGTGTTATACACTTTTATAGGCCGCACTGTACACTTAGCATGAAAGTTTTGAATTTTGACTTTTAGTCTGAGTTATTGAGTGAATCTCACTTAAACATGGCATATTTCACCTCAGAAACAACAACATAATATGTAAATAATAATCAATCAATAATATGTCTTAGTAAATTGATATTAGTTTTAGTTTAAAAATATATAATGCAATGCTACACAATGATGATTGAGAGATGAACAAATAAACATTCCTCATAATTCTGATGATCATATTTGAGACTCACATTTTAACATGGTTTTTCTAAAAATAAAAAAAAACCTTTGAATATTCAAGTAAACCTAAGTTGCTGAAACGACATAAAGTTTGTTGAACATGAAAATTATTTCAGTCAAACTTCATTCATGATGATTAAAACATTTATCCCATAAATTATAACTACTATGAGTTATATTTTTATTCCGTTTTATTACTGTAATAATATATCAATTTTTGCATTACAGTAATAATAATATTTCTAAAAAAAATAGGCATACTTTTCTTAATGCAACTTCTTTTGGGGTGAAATGTTTGTATTATGAATATATTTATATTATGTTGTCCTCCGGATTCATGAGATTCACCATATTTTATGTTCACAACTTTATGTATCTTTTGATTTTCATGTCAAAGAAAATCTGAGAAATATGCAGACAGATGTGATTTATGCCGATGGAATGGATACATTTATTTACACAGATTTAGACTCATGAAACAGTTTTCTTGCTTACCATGTATTCTGTTGGCTTTAAATAAGAAAGAAAGAGAAAAAATGCATTAATTTTTTTGTAATTTACCTCATTTTTACCCCTCTCTCTCTCTCTCTCTCTCTCTGTTTTTCCTGGGTCGTCTGCTCCTCGTGAAGTTGGCCATGTCTTCATCAGGTCAGTTTCTGGGTGTCTAATATCATGACTGACATTATGAATTATTTTATTGCTGTTCATGCTCATCTAATTTTACATGCAAGCATGTAATTCCATTATTATTAGATTGTAATGTACAGTAGAAAGCTGGAGAACACTTTAATTCTTTTAGAATCTGTCAAAGCAGTAAGGGATGAAGAAATGAATACTTTTATTCAGCAAGGACGCATTAAACTGATCAAAAGTGACAGTAAAAACATTTATAATATTACAAAGATTTCTATTTCAGATAAATGCTGTTCTTTTGAACTTTCTATTCATCAAAGAATCCTGAAAAATAAAATGCATCACAGTTTCCTTAAAAATCTGAAGCAGCACAACTGTTTTCAACATTGATAATAATAAATGTTTGTTGAGCAGAATATTATACTGTCAGATCAGTAAATCAGAATATTATACTGATTTCTGAAGGATCATGTGACACTGAAGACTGGAGTAATGATGCTGAAAATTCAGCTGCGCATCACAGGAATAAATGACATTTTAATATATATTCACATAGAAAACAGTTATTTTAAATTGTAATAATATTTCACAATATTACAGTTTTACTGTATTTTTGATTAAATAAATGCATCCTTTGTGAGCATGAGAGACTTCTAATATTTGATGGCGTCTCGTGTGTTTCAGTGGCTGGAGACGCGTCCCAGCAGACAGCAGTGTCCCGTGTGTAAAGCAGGAATCAGTCGAGATAAAGTCATTCCTCTGTACGGCCGCGGCAGCACCAGCCAGGAGGATCCCAGGTACTGCTCAATATACAGAATTTACAATATTAGAGATTATGATAGAATATATATTTATTTAGTTAGTTATTTATTAGCTAGCAAGCATGTTCAATTCAAATTTGTGTAAAATGATTTTGGCCCTCCAATAAAATATCAAGGCAAGTAATAGATTTTTTAATTTGTCACGCTGTAAATGGAAGGTCAGGTCAAGTGCATTGCATTGTGGGTCACTCACAGTGTGTGTCGTAATTTTTCTGGCAGATGTACAGTAGGTCGTGCAGGTATTCCATGAAAACAGAAAGTTTGCATACTGCAAAAATAACATCATTTTGAACGTAACCTGATCTGGAGTTTGTATGTGGTTTCGGTCACATGTTCATGCTGGAGGCACAGAGAAATTACTGATATTCGTTAATAAACAACCATTAAAGCCAAATATGTGGGAGTTAAACTGTGTCACATGAGACTAGGGCTGCAGGATATTTGTGATTTAAATAAAAATGTAAAAAAAAAAAAATTGTGATTTTAAAAAGCGATTTAAAACAATTACTGGTTTGCACCAGGGTTATTATAGCTAACTAAAACTACTAAAAACATTTTGTAATAATTGAAATAAAGCTGCAATAAAATAAAGTATTAGTATTAAATATAAAAAAATATATAAACAAAAATATTAAAACTTGAAATGAAAACCAGAAATGTTGCCATGACAATGAACTGAAGTTTAAGTTGAAGCACTAAAATTACTAACTGAAAATAAAAATAAAACTGAACTAAAAATGAATGAAACCTAAAAAGTAATATTAAAAAATATTATAACCAACTACAAATTAAGTTAAAATTAAAATTAAAAACTGAAAATATTAAAGTAGAATGTAATTTAAAATATTACTAAAAACTAAAATAGTTTATAAATAATATCATAAAATAACACTGGTCTGCACAATTTGGCCAAAATTTAGTGATTATATATCAATATGCATAAAATATATAATACAATATTGTTGTTGTTGTTGTTCTTCTTCTTCTTCTTTTATTATTCAATATAAAATATAGCAAAAAATAAAAGCAGAATGAATATAACTTCATAATACAATATTGTTGTTGTTGTTCTTCTTCTTCTTCTTCTTCTTTTATTATTCAATATAAAATATAGCAAAAAATAAAAGCAGAATGAATATAACTTGTAATATGTTACTGTAATATAAAAACAAGAATAATTATAATTATTATTATTATACAATAACATTTTTTTTTTTTTAAATCAAAGCAAAATAAATATAACTTGTAATATTTCACCAAAACAAAACATTAAGAAAAAATATATTATGTTAATAATAATAGTAATGATGATTATTATTTTTATTTTTTTTACATTATTTTACGTTTTTATTTCACATTTTACATTGTAAAATTGTAATCCTAATAATTATAATTTCTTCATTTTCAAATGTTAAACCATCAAAGCTTTATTTTGACAAGAAACGTTAAAGGCTTAAAATTTTATATTCAGCCTGATGATTTTACTCATTTTAATATTATGAGAAATGTCTAATGTGTGTTACAGATTGAAAACACCACCACGACCTCAGGGTCAAAGGACAGAACCAGAGAGCAGAGGAGTGAGTGTCTGTCCTTATGAATAACACTTCATCTGCTGCGTTATTATGCTGTGATTATGAATGTGTTTGTCTCTCTGCAGCCGTTTCAGGGTTTTGGTGACACAGGGTTTCACATGTCTTTTGGAGTCGGGGCTTTTCCGTTTGGTTTTTTCACCACAGTCTTTAACAACAACGACAATTTTCACAGACGAGGTCAGTGCTGCTGTTTGTCTTTGAGATGCTCACTATTAATATTTCACTATTCAAATGCACAAGCATTAAGATCATGTCAGGTCTTGTGAATGTTCATTTTTAAAGCCGTGACTTGATCTCATCAGATCCTCAATACGGAGTCGATCATCAAGCCGATGGCAACGGCAACAACTGGCAGGACTCGCTCTTCCTCTTCCTGGCCATCATCTTCTTCTTCTGGTTGCTGAGCGTGTGACGCCTTCTCGCTTCAGCCCGTCTGCGATCGAAACAACAGTAACACATGCTTTCAGAAGATCAGCTGTCTGTGTCTCACACACACACACACACAGTGTTGAGAGACAGTATTAACAAACACTACAGGAGCTGATGAAGCAGCTCACAAAACAGCATATTTCACCTCAAGATCAATACAAATGCAATGAGAAATTACATTGTGCATAAAGAAAATGTTTGTTTTTTCATCATGATTAAACGTATTTAATTCCCAAATTCTCATTACTTTAAAGCTGCAGTCCGTAACTTTTTTTTGGTTAAAAATGATCCGAAATCAATATTTGAGCAAGTACATAACCAGCCAGTGTTCAAAACTATCGCCTTACTTTAGCCCGATTTAGTCACTAATGCTTATGTTGTTAACATTAATCATTTGAGAATAAATTATAACAATAATAATTGAACGGTTTGATGTGATATGAGCTAATGTTTTAAGTAGTTAATTGTCATAAAAAGATTGTCACAGTGTATCATTTTAATAGAAATAAGAAATGCAAACCAGAAATGACTTAAAATGATATTTTTTTTAAAGCTGAAAATTCAGTAAAACTTCATTCTGAAATTATTTTCCTAACAATTAACATTTATTCACTAAGTTCTTATTTCTATAAGTTGAGATGTTCTAGTCTCTTTTATTACTGTAATAATATATAAATATTTTTGCTGTTACAGTAATAATAATAATTGGGAGAGGGAAATGTTTCATTAATTGTTAAGTCTTGGAAAAAAATATCACAATGGATAAAATCTTAATAAAAAAGTATTTTCTTTCTTGTGATTTTTGGGGTGAAATATTACCCAGATACATTTGCCGCAGGTTTCGTGAGATTCACCATATTTTATGTTCACAACTTTCTGTAGCATTTCATTTTCATGCCAAAGAATTTCTGTAATGAAATTACAGTGGGCAGTGCGCTGACATATATCACCGTTGCGCTATGGGCGTCCCGAGTTCGTTAGTGGACCTTTCCCGATCCCGCCCCCCTCTTTCTCTCTCACTTCACTTTCTGTCTGCTTTACACTGTCCTATCATAATAAAAGGCAAACGGCAAAAAAAATCTGTAATGAAAAAAATAATGGCAGGCGTGATGAATGTAGGATTTATTTCAGTACTCGTGAAAGCGGTTGGAGGCCGTGTCACTGTGTTTGGACGGACGTTTCACTTATTGAGATCCTTAAATCTGACCGATGAACGAAAACACAAGTCAGTATCAGACTTCTGTAATAAAAGGGTGAATCTCATGAGGCCTTTATGACCTGGACATTTCTTAATTTCATCCCAAAATCAAAAAAAAAAAATTATATTGTGCAGAAAGACAAAAAACAAAACAAAAAAACAAACTTATTTAAGGACCTTTTTGATTTTTAAGCCCAATTGCAACTAAGCACACTGGTGCAAAAATAATCATATAGATATATATATATATATATATGTAAAACCCATTCCTAAGACTAAAAACCTCATTATTATGATGCATATGTATATATCGCATTGCTATGATGCTAAAATGTGTGTGTGTGTGTGTGTGTGTGTGTGTATATATATGTATATATATATATATATAT